AAAAAAAAAAAAAAAAAAAAAAATGAAAATGCTGATTATTGATTTACATAACAATATTCCCTCTCCATTCACCTACCTGAAGCTTTCTGTCCAGTCCCACACAGGTGGTTTTAGATGTGAACACCAGACCTGTTTAACCTGCTCTGTATCAGCACTTGAGACACTCTGAGGCAAGCACAGACAGACATCTAACTAATGCTGTGGGTATAAATAACAAAAACCACAATCCTGCCCTTTGGAAAACATCTCCCTTCAATCTTCTTGCTCCCTTTCCACTCTTTATCAGGGGGAGAAATTAAACTAATTAGGGGCTGGGCATAGTGGCTCTTGTCTGTAATCCCAGCACTTTGGGAGGCTGAGGAGGGCAGATCACTTGAGGTCAGGAGTTCTAGATCAGCCTGGCCAACATGTTGAAACCCCGTCTGTACTAAAAATACAAAAATTCACCAGTGGCACACGCCTGTAGTTCCAGCTGCTGGGGAGGCTGAGGTGGGAGAATTGCTTGAACCCGGGAGGTGGAGGTTGCAGTGAGCTGAGATTGTGACACTGCACTACAGCCTGGGTGACAGAGCAAGACTCCATCTCAAAAACAAAATAAAACAAAATAAAATAAACCAGTTAGAAATCTTGTCTTTTCTCCACCCTCCTCCTAACCTGAGACTGCTTCCTTCTTGTAAACCTAGTTAGAAATCTTGTCTTTTCTCCACCCTCCTCCTAACCTGAGACTGCTTCCTTCTTGTAAACCTACAGGAATTTGAGGTGAGGTTGAAGAACATTAAAGTTACTCAAATAAAATAAGCCTAGTCACTCAAATTGATTATCCTCTTGATTCACATCTATTTATGCTAGCTGCATATCATTTACATGTTGTTAACTTAGAATCAGAGTAGCAAAAATTGCCTGCAGGCCTTACACTTTTTTTTTCCTCTCTCCTTCTCTCTCTCTTTTCCTCCTCCCCTAAAATGACACTTAGGATGAACCTCAAAGCAGATGCCAGAGCCTGGGAAAATGAAAAAGCTTGAAGAACAGCAGGCTGTCCAGTGCCAGAAAAGATCAGTGATGAAGTGGGGGGTTGGGCAGCTAGCTGGCTAGAGCGGTAAGCCAAAGGAACCCAGGAGTGGACACCCGAGGGTGTGGGGTCTCAGAGGAACTGGGCAGAGCTAAATGGGCTAAGTCTTAAGAGGCAGGAGCAGGAAATGTAATGAAGGGTTTCTTTTTCTTTTTTCTTTTTTTTTGAGATGGAGTCTTGCTCTGTCACCGGGCTATAGTGCGGTGGCGTGATCTCTGCTCACTCCAACCTCCCCCTCCCAGATTCAAGCGATTTTCCTGCCTCTGCCTCCCAAGTAGCTGGGACTACAGGCGCGTGCCACCATGCCCACCTAATTTTTGTATTTTTAGTAGAGATGGGGTTTCACCATGTTGGCCAGAATGGTCTCCATCTCTTGATCTGCCTGCCTCAGCCTCCCACAGTGCTGGGATTACAGGTGTGAGCCACCACGCCCAGCCTGTAATGGAGGATTTCCACTCTACAAGGTCCACTGCTGCTGGGGAGAGCATGCAGTATTTCAGTGTAGGAAAGAATGAGGGAGAGGATACTCAGGCAAATCAAAGTTTCATTCTTTTCCTCCTCTTCCTCAGCTCCTCAAGTCCTACAGTTTCTCTCCAGCTGGAATTATGGTAGTGGACGAGGAAGTTAAAATAGCCCTGGTTCCTCCCTAGTCAGCCGAAAGTTGGAAGAAGCATGTAAAACAGGCATGTAGCTTCAAAAAGACACTCCTCCTCTCCCTAGGAACAAATCCCTTTCTGTCCCCCTCCAATCTCCTTCTCAGTCTGACATACGTCTTCATGCAATCAATTGTTTAGATTTTCTTTCTTTCTTTCTTTCTTTTTTTTTTCTGAGATGGAGTTTTGCTCTTATTGCCCAGTCTGGAGTGCAGTGACACAATCTCCGCTCACTGCAACCTCCGCCTTTAGGGTTCAAGTGATTCTCCTGCCTCAGCTTACCAAGTAGCTGGGATTACAGGTGCCCACCACCATGCCCAGTTAATTTTTTGTATTTTTAGTAGAGATGGGGTTTCATCATGTTGGCCAGGCTGGTCTTGAACTCCTGACGTCAGATGATCCACCCGTCTCAGCCTCCCAAAATGCTGGGATTACAGGCATGAGCCACCACACCCAGCAATAGTTTAGATTTTCATCTCAGAATATGTCAACCATCTCCACAGTGCCCTGTCTACTTGCTCACAAGGAGAGGGGGAGGGTTGCGTGATTTCATTAAAAGGAGGAGGACCACGAAGCATCCCCTTTACATCTCTCTCCTGCCTTAGCTCCTCTAAGCCATCCAGACCTGTCGACCGAAGGTGGAAGGACAGCAGGTGTCAACTCCCCAGAGCCGGAGAGGAAACGGAGAAGGGTGGGAGAAGAGGTGAAGAAGACGATTAAAATAAAGTTTTTACCTTAAAGAAGTGGGCGCTGTTCCAGGACTGAGAAGGAGAGTTCAGCTGTGGCAATGCGATGGGGGAGGTGGGTGCAGTGAGGGGGGCTGCCAGTGCCAATTGCCTTCCAGCTGTCAACGCCTGAGCTTATACAGGTTTACACAGCTTTATGAGCGGCGGTCCTGGCTGGGTTGTGGCTGCTTCCGGACTCACGCCCAGTACTGGGGGCACCGAAGGAGGGCGAAGGCAGGCAGGGGCGCAGCCCAGGTGCTCCAGGTCGCTCAGAGCGTCTTCAGGATTCCTGAGTCGCCGGGTCTAGGACACGCGCTCCAGGCCCTGACTACCAGCTGGTTTTCAAAGGAAGTTTGTGGTTTTTCTTTTCTTCTCTCTCTTTCTTTTTTTTCTCATCGGGACGAAGAAAAATTAGTCAAGGACAAGCTCCCTGGAGGAGGAGGGCCCTGCCCAGCACTGGTGGATTTCCATCAGGGCTTTCTGACCCGGTCAGCAGCTTGGTGATCAGCAGAGAGGGAGAGAGAAACAGGAGAGAAAAACAACAGACCTTTTCTCTTCCCTCCGCCTGCCTCTGGAAGGGACGGAGCGCTTGTGCCTCTCTGGTGAGAACAGGGAAAAGCAAGTGCCCTTGCTGAGTGGGGAGGAGCAGGGCTGGACAGAAGCAGCTTGTTGGATCTGAGGTTTCTCTCTGGGTATGGCAGTCCTTTGCTCCAGATCCACAGAAGCAGGACCAAAGAGCACGATATTTGCATATAATGCTCAATGTTAATGAGTAATGTTAAAAAAAAAAAAAAAGAGAGAGAACCCAGTTCTTTTCCCTCTGGAGCCCTCCAGAGGGCTCCTTTTCAAGTCCTTGCCGTATCTTTTTTAAGTCTGGAAATGAAACTGGTTGGGTTGTGCACCTGGTAGAGCGCAGAGGGTGTGGCAGAAGCCCCAGGCTATGGGAAGAGCGCACAGCAGGGAAAGAACTCGCAGAACAGGCAGGAGATCCAACACCCCCGTGCTCTGGATCTTGGTTCCACCGCAGGCCTCAGCTTCTCATCAGTCACCTCCCCTCAATTTACAGCTGGGGAAGCAAGAAAAGCTGGTGTGAGGTTGATGGTAGGAAAGATAGGGATAGATAAATAAACGCGGGAATATTTGACGGTGAGCTTCCATTTATTTGCAGTACCTGCGCTACCCCGCGGCTGGAAAGGAGCAGTTAAGGGGGGTTGGAACCTAACTCTGCATTTTGAAGGGTTCCCTAGACTCTATGTACAGGACTGCCTGCCACAGGATGAAACTTCAAGCCTGAAACTCTGAAGGCTGAAAGAGCAGTTGGAACAATTAGGGAGGTAGGGAGCAAAAAGCAAAGGTTACAGCCGACCAAGAAAGGAAGGAGAAGATATTTGACGAGACGGTAGAAAAATAAACCAGGCTACAGAGTTGTAAAGGAAGAAGCAGCAAGAGTTGGCAGGAGACTGCAGGTATTAAGTAAACAAGAGGGGTCAAAGATTATTCTAATGTTCTCCTAACATGAACAACCACAAAACTCGTGGCGATTGAGTCCGTTCGGTTAAGGAGAGAATTTCCAGAAAGAAGATGAATATCTGTTCTGCCAAGCGTCATTTAAAATGTCAACCAGAAAGATGTTATACGTAGCCCGATCTGAGAGGGAAAGTTCAGATGCCACAACAGTGGGTTACTGTGACACATACACATTTGTTTGTCAAACGACTGATCCCTCAGAACTCTCCTTCCTTCTGTTGCTAGGGCCATTGCGGAGCTGCGAGACTACGTTTCCCGCGACGACCCGCGCCACGCCCCCTTGGCCTCTCCGGAAAGACGTCCCAGGAGCCTCTGGGCGTAGAGCCCCGCCTCCGCCGCTGGGGGCGGGGCGACGCCGGGCTCGGGAGCGCCCGCTTACGCACTTCCTCCCGGGGTCGGAGGCCGATTCGCCGTGTGGCGGGTTCGAGTCCCGCCTCCTGACTCTGGTCTCTGGCCCCTGAGTCCCGGGCGGGGTGCATTCGCCGGGGAACCTCTCCTCGACCTGGGGCGACGGCGTACTTTGGGCTTCATCATGGAGGACTACCTGCAGGGTTGTCGAGCTGCTCTGCAGGTAACCGATCCCTGTCTGTGACTGTAAGGAATGGAGCACGGGGTCCAGGAAGGACGAAGACTTGGGATCTGGGGGACCCTCGACGATCCGTGTGGAGGGAACACTTATGTTGTGGGGAGGGGGGTTGGGGCCTGATCAGGTTTGGGGCATGAGGAGCGAGAAGCCAGCTTACGAGCGTGAGAATGCTGCTTGCTCCGTCTCCCGGTTTTTGGCTCCCCGCCTTGGGGGTCCGCCCGAGAGCGGGGAGAAGTCTTGGGTCTGAGTCCTGCATTTGAGACTCTGCTTGCTGTCGTCTTGGTCAGTTCCGTCAAAAGGACCAGGACTGTGCCCTCGCCAGCCGAGCCCCGCGAGGTGTGTTTATTCTTTTCTCCCCGCCCCTCTTTCAGTTCTCTGCTCCCAAGGCCTCGCTTGGCCCACTGGCCTCCAGGTGAACCTCGGGGGTGTGGAGGGAACCGGCGCTGACGGCTTTATTTCCTCTGAACGGCAGTTTCTGTCTGGCGGGCTGAACTCATTTCTAGGTTAGAAGTGGTCGTGGTATTTTACTTTGTGATATTGTGCCAGAATTGCTAGCCTTTGCTTACCGGTAATAAGTAAAATAAGCAGCCCAGGATAACTAAGATCTGTGTGTAAACAAACGCTTATCTTGACTTCTGTAAACCACTGAAGTAACAAACAGAATGACAAAAGTCCCCTGGCCCTTGGAATGTCCAGAGACCCCCGCCCTCGTCTCCGCCCAGGAGGTGAAAACTTTAAGTCCGTGTTTTTAAGCCAAACATACAGAATCCATCAAGCATATTTCTTGACCCACAACCAGCATTCCTTTGCCTCCAGGTTTCTCCCTTGGCCTTAACGCACACAAATGACATACAAATTCTCCACCTGGAAGGGATAAGCACAAAGAGTGTTTGGAATCAAAACCATAAATATGACTACTGACTGCTTTGTGGCTTATTCGTGGTGCTCTCTGAGCCAGTTGGACTCACCCAGCCATGCTGAGCCGTCATGAGGCATTAGGCTGTTATCCCAGTTAGCAGCAAAAAGCTAACCAGAGAGAAGCTCCAGGAGGTCACCTGGCCCCTCTACTTTGAGTTATTCTGAAGAAACCTAGACAGATGGTTGGCTGAGCTTTCCTTTTTAGATATCTTAAACTCTACAAATTCTCCTGGGGGACAGATTCTGTTGTTTGTTTATTTGTTTGAGACAAGAGTCTCACTCTGTCACTCAGGCTGGAGTGCAATGGCACAATCTTGGCTCACTGCAACCTCTGCTTCCCGAGTTCAAGTGATTCTCCTGCCTCAGCCCCTTGAGTTAATTAGCTCAGCCCGGCTAATTTTTGTATTTTTAGTAGAGACGGAATTTCACCATGTTGTCCAGACTGGTCTCAAACTCCTGACCTCATGATCCGCCTGCAGTGACCTCCCAAAGTGCTGGGATTACAGGCGTGAGCCATCGTGCCTGGCCCAGATTCTGGTCCTAAACAAATCCTGAAAGTCAGTTAATTCCTGCTGCAGACACAGCTGCTGGAATAAAATGAATTGTCTTCATATTGAATTGGGGAGAAGGTCCGTTTTAACACCAATTACATAGACATTTTCCTTGGGAAAACCAATTTGGGGAAAGTTATTTCAATGCATGAGGCCATTTGGAAGCAATCCCTTTTAGTTACCTCTGATTCCACCACAGGGCACTTATTGGAGGACTAATGTAGAGTTTTATGGCACTGTTCTAAGTGCTAAACACTTAGATTCTCACCCCAAGTAACCCAGATGACTGGTCTCTTTTCCACCATTTGGTAAAGAGCCCTTGGACCTGAAACCTCACCAAATGGTATTTCTTTGCATGCATCTACTCTCCAGCATGTATCCTTCAGAGCCTCCCCCACCCCTAGATTAATAGTGTATTCTCTATTTTTATTCTGTATTTGTTTGTTTATTTATTTTGAGCCAGGGTCTCACTCTGTTGCCCTGGCTGGAGTGCAGTAGTGTGATCACCCCCCAGGCTCAAGTGATCCTCCCACCTCAGCCTCCCATTAAAGCTTCGACTATAGGCATGTGCCACCATGCAGGGCTAATTTTTTGTATTTTTGTAGAGACATGGTCTTGCCATGTTGCCCAGTCTGGTCTCGAACTCCTGGACTCAAGCAATCCCTCTGGCTTGGCTTCCCAGAGTGCTGGAATTACAGGTGTGAGCCACACTGTGCCCGGCCCTAATAGTATATTCTCTACAGCAATATGAAGCTGGAAAAATACTTGATTTTTCCAATACTGCTGGCATCTTAACTTTCCTCTCTCAAGGAGCAAGATCCAGATCTTGTTTTCAAACTTGTGAACTTGTAAAAGATGAGATTGTGTTCTTGGAGCTTTCATCACCACATAGCCTCTCCAGGGCCTGGAGAAATGAGAAAAGTAGCCGGGCACGGTGGCTCAAGTCTGTAATCCCAGCACTTTGGGAGGCCGAGGCGGGTGGATCACGAGGTCAAGAGATCGAGACCATCCTGGTCAACATGGTGAAACCCCGTCTCTACTAAAAATACAAAAAATTAGCTGGGCGTGGTGGCACGTGCCTGTAATCCCAGCTACTCAGGAGGCTGAGGCAGGAGAATTGCCTGAACCCAGGAGACGGAGGTTGCGGTGAGCCGAGATCGTGCCATTGCACTCCAGCCTGGGTAAGAAGAGCAAAACTCCGTCTCAAAAAAAAAAAAAAAAAAAAGAGAAAAGTAGACTCTAGGAAAGTAAGCAGATGAACTGATGGCAAGACATAGTGGTAGATGCCAACAATTTAGATTGCTTTAAATTTTTTTTTTTTTTTTTTTTTTTTGAGATGGAGTCTTGGTCTGTCGCCCAGGCTGAGTGCAGTGGTGCAATCTCAGCTCATTGCAATCTCCACTCTCCAAATTCAGGTGATTCGCCTGCCTCAGCCTCCTGAGTAGCTGGAATTACAAGTGTGCGCCACCATGCCTGGCTAACTTTTGTATTTTTAGTAGAGACAGGGTTTTCACCATGTTGGCCAGGCTAGTCTCGAACTCCTGACCTCAAGTGATCCACCTGCCTTGGCCTCCTAAAGTGCTGGGATTACAGGTGGAGCCAACCATGCCCTGCCTAGATTGCTTTAAATTATAGAAGTAGTAAATGTGCACTTAATGAACAAATTTAAATACCAAAAGGATATGAAATGAAAAAGATAAAGATCCTCTTTCTTTTCTCCTCTCCATCCAGTCTCCAGAGGCCACCCTGTTAGGTTTCTTGTGTAAAGAGAGATGATTTAGACAGATACACTCAAGTTTGAATGTTCCTCTTATAGTTTAATTATAACTTTCAGGAAATCATGAATGCTCCTCTTTACACAGGATAAAGACAGCTGGTAATCCAGCCAAGTCTCCTGTTACTACCACATTTTTAGCATTTGATACCAGAGAAATTTTCGACAGCCTCTGTCACAGGGACAATAGGATGTTCCATTAAAAAAAATTTTTTTTTAATTTAACTAAACGTCCTATTTATGGTGACTCATCTTTCACTTCTAGGAAGGAGGAATCTTTGCTTCAGGGTGGGGCTGCATTGCAGTTTAGGTGTTCATCCAGGAGCCTTTGGATAATGTATTGTGTGCATTTCTCAGGCATGAGGCAGGAATCAGGAGCTGGGTCTCCTTAGAAATGTGCTGTCCTGGCATCAGTATTTTTCCCATTTTCTCTGCTGAGAGGTTTCGTCTCTCTCTGGTTTTCTGTCTTGTTTGCTTTTCTCCCCCATTAACTACTCTGAAGAGTAGTTATCATACCATATTTAGCTTTAGAGGGGAAGTGGTTTACTTTGCCAGTCCTAACCCTCTCCCTGCCCTGTCCTCGAGAGGCCACAAAGAACATATCAGGATAAGAGAGTCATTTCAACTAGTGTGTCTTTAAAAAAAAAAAAAGAAAGAAAGAAAAAAGGTTTGTATTTATTTACTTGTGGCTCTCAGATTGTATTTCTTCCATTGGCAGCTTAGGTTTCCTCATGCTGCTAAGTATAGCTGTATTTTCCCTGAACTCTTTCTCTGATGCTCAGAAAACTGAGGCTGTTGGGCTTGTGCTTTCAGCTGGTGGAGGATGGGCTTGGAATTAAGGGTTACGCATGTTTTTTCTAAAGAAGAGAGTGGCCGGGTGCAGTGGCGCGTGCCTGTAGTCCCAGCTACTCGGGAGGCTGAGGTGGGAGGATCGCTTGAGTCCAGGAGTTCTGGGCTGTAGTGCGCTATGCCGATCGGGTGTCCGAACTAAGTTCGGCATCAATATGGTGACTTCCTGGGAGCGGGGGACCACCAGGTTGCCTAAGGAGGGGTGAA